TAATAATAATAATAATACATGTAATAATAATAAGAAGAATAATAGCAGTAGTAGTACAAGACTGCATTTATATAGAGTATATATCCCGCGTACCCATTTGCAACCTGGATGAAGTGTGGAAAATGTGTGCGAAGGCCGGAATTCGAGCCCGTGCTCCTTCAGTTCAGAGTCTGGCACACTAACAAATAGACTGCCAAAGGTCGTCAGTAAGAAACAGGAACAGGGCAAGGCCACTGATTTCACGTACAGCAAACAAAATACAAGGCAATTTGACGAAGAACAATGTCAGAATGACAAGGCAAAATGCACCCTGTCTACCCATTCGCTATTAGCATGTTCCGGTAACACCTTTCCCCGACCCATCTGCCCTGATCTAAAATCTCTTAATCAGGCCAACTGGCGAGGGCTCCTAGGCCCACATGCTAACCTTCAACAAACCGTGGTCCCAGAGACAGAAATGTCCTGTCTGTTGTGTATCTATTATTGTATTGTGTACACACTCTGCAGATAGAACCTTTCGACATTTCGACACTACTGGTGTAACAGAACAGTTACGAGGAATGTGCACCGCCTTACCAATGACCTTACCGTATAACCTCCTTGCCCACGTACGCATGTGAGCCCAGAGACAAAAGGTCTCATCAGCGATACATATGTTGCATAATCGTATAGAAGGAACCCTTTCCACTTTTGATTGCGGAGCTCAAGTAATGCGGACAAGAATGTGAACTGAATACTCCCTTGCCAATGAAATCGTGCATGCAAGCCCTGAGGCAAAAATGTACTATCAACAACGCCAATGACATTACTACGGAACCTTCGACTATCAAGTTATGTGAAAAATTACTTACCTGTAGTTCGCTTCATCAGTCACGGTATTATTACAGTCAACGCAAAGCTATTCGCTAAACGATTAATTTGGTTGCAGTGTCTACACGTACGTTAAGTGCACATAACCTTTGACCCTGCACTAGGGTCGGTTGTGGAAGCTTTGAATTGAAACACCTCGACCTTTGACCGTAACCCAGTGCCACACTGACCAAGCCTGGAGTGACTGGTTAAGCCGGTCAGTGTGTGTTCTGATTCAAGGGAAAGCTGGTAAAGGAGCAAATGTTCTGTTGTGGAAGTTAAGCTAACAACCCTAAACCCATTATCAATCACGTCTAACTATTCACGCATCTGTTTTTCTGTCTTTCAGCCGGTCTGCTCTATGTGCCAACGTATTCTCTTTTATCTAGTTATTCTTTAACTAAAATATGTATATCATCATAATTCACTTAGATCTTTCGCGTGTGTGTGTG